GGGGAAGGCAGCGGGGCGGGAGCCTTCGGTAGCGCCCCGCGCGAGAGGCAGGAGCTGGGAAAATCGGTCCCTTCTTGGCAGGGGGACGCGAACCGTTAGCTTTGCTGCTTGCTAATGAGCCATTTGATACTACGGCTATTTAAGGAAACAGGACAGCGCGTGTGCTCTGTGAATAGACAAATCGCAGCTAGAAATATCAGGCTCCGCATGGCCAATTTCTGCTCCCAACACGAGTCTGATTTGCCAGGCCTTCGAAACTGCTCTGGCTTGGCAAGAGGCAGCTGCTCGCGCTGCGGCGGGAGGGCAGCTGAGGGGCGTCTGGGCTCGGAGGAGGGCCGGGAGCGACAGGCCGGCTCAGCCTCGGTGCCAGGCAGAGCTGTGCCGCGTGCCAGCCGTGCGCGGAGGCCGGAGAAAGGGGCACTGTTTCAGCAGAGCGCGCGTTTCAACATGGTAACGCTGCTTCAAGCAACGGATGAGAAGCTGAGTCGGTTCCCGAGTCCTGTCCGCTGACCCCTTTGGGCAGAGCGGAGGGCTCCCGTGAAAGGCTGGGGCAAAGGATCCCCAGTGGGACGGTTGCAGCCGGAGAGGAGGCGGCCAAACCTGGCGGAGGAGAGTTTGCACGTTTGCAGATTCTTGGAGCCGTGAGAAGCAGACAAACTCTGGGCTTCGGGATGGCACCGCTTGTGTTTCGAGGCCCTCGGAGCCGTGCCCACGTAGGCCAGCGCTACGGCGAGGAAGGTCCGGGCTCGCTCAGAGACGCCGCTCTGCGGAGCGGTTGTTACCACCCCCAGGAACCTTTTTGGGGGGACGGTGTCAGGCACGGAGGTCTGCCCTCTGCACGGGGCACTTTCTCGAAGGGCAGCTAGTTTCAGAGCAGCTCGTTTCAGCACGCAGTGACTGGTTTCTGGGAGACGGATGGTGCGCCTAGCGCCTGCTTTTGGAGAGGAAGGAAGAGAAAGCCGTGAGGAATAAATCAGCAAGGGTCCTACCGCGGTCGTGGTTGTTTGAGGATAACTGGGGCTGGTGATGGGATCCTCCTGGCCAGCTGCCCGTCTGCCCCGCAGCGGTGCCCGCGGGAAGCGCTGGGGCACGTGGCTCCGGCTCTCTGCTCCTGCCACTGTAACGAGGCTCGGCCATGCTTCGTTAAGTGATGAGCCCGTCCTGCCGGCCACAGCAAGTTGGTCCCAGGAGGGTTTTGTGGACGTTTTCTCAGGGTGCGAAGCCTTCCCTGTCCTCATCCTCGGGGGTGGGTCTGCCCTGGATGCCTGCCCCTGCCTCTCAGTTGTGCTGTGCAGAGATCTGGGCGACTGCCCTGTGCAACGGATCCCCAGAACGACCCCGCTTGGTGGTAGACCTCCCGAAACGGGGAGGTGTGGAGCCTGGCGATAGGCTCGGGCTGGTGCGGAAGTGCAACTGCAGCGATGTGATTACAGCAAAAGTGGCTTTCTGAATTAATCGAGTTAGCAAGGCTGCCTCCTTGGGCCAGACGATGACCATCTGCCCAGAGCACGGTGCCTTTTTTTTAACCTCGCATCACTGCGCTGATCCTGTTTGCAGCCTGGCCCCGCAAAGAGTTGCATTAGCATGGTTGAAGAGATGGCAAACGGGAGACCAGGGATGAGGACGAGGCGCCAGGGGCTGGAGCATCTCTAGCTGGTTTTGCTGCCAGGGAACAACCTGCTCTGACCACCTGATTCTTACCGCTTGTTTCTTTGTGTCTTCCACGCTCAGACCGGCTGATTGCTCTTCCTTCTGCCTCCATGATGATGCCTCCTCCTCCATGCCTCCATCTGCTTGCTTCGCAGATGATGGCTGGCTGTATCTGAAAGATGCCGATTATCCTTAAGCGAAGTGATTATGGACGCTTTGTGGGGCGGACTCGGGCCGTGGGAGTCGAGGACGGGTGCTCTCCTTGTTTCCCGCGGGAGGTGGTGGATCTTCAGCGCTTTCCATCGCCCACCCACCTGTCTTTCTCCCGCGGCTGCTGCGGGTGGGAGCAGGCGCGGACCGATGCGCCGCCCCTGCCCTTCCCGGCGGCGCTGGCTCCCGCGCCGGGAAGG